AAAGAGAGAGAGAAAGAGAGGAAGAAACACAAACTGGCGGCTGAAAATCACCTCAGTGTGAAGAAGGAGAACGGAGAGCTGAAGCTGTCGCAGAAAGGTATCGCTAGTCGCTTCGCTGCTGCTGTTTGCGGCTGATAACGGCCTGCTGCTTCGCTAGCTGTGATCTGTGTGTGTGTGTGAGCGTTTATGATGTGTTTATTGTGCTCGTGGATGAGTGCGTATGTGTTTATTTGCGTGGAAAACACCGACAGCGCGAGCTAGTTAGCTTAGCATCGGTGAGGCGCGTGCAGCTGCAATGTGACCCGCCGCAGACGCGCGTATTACCATCACAATAATTCACATCTGCTGTCATTATAATAGCATCATCACATCTCCTGTGTTACCTCATCACATCTCCTGTGTTACCGCACAGATCCATCGGCAAACATCATCATATCCTATAATAAATGCGTGTTTTTATATTCAAGTGTTAAATTAGTCTGTAGGACGGCAGAATAATAGCTCGTACTAATAAAAACAGTAATCTAAATATCTTCTGTCGTTCCTGAGATGCCTAACGGACACCAGAAGATCACGATTATAATAACTGCTGTATTACTGCTGGAGTCTCAGTAATAACACTCGCTCGGTGATTGGAGAACACGAGACAGTCATGTACAGCGATCTTCTGTTGCTCTGTAATAAATATGCTGTTCTCCGAGTTATACTGTGAGCTTCACTGTGTTGAACTGTTGTGTGTTATTTACTGTTTGTGTCAGGCCTGTTACTCCCACATGACATTAATAAACACTAATAAAGTAGTAACCCATCTGTCATAACACAACTGTTATGAAAACAGCACAAAAGCCATATTCATTCATTAAAGACGCACTGTTGGCTGCCTGTCCTACAGATGCTTACCTAGCCCTAACTGACCCTAACTCCTACTAACTGACCCTAACGCCTACTAACTGACCCTAACTCCTACTAACTGACCCTAACGCCTACTAACTGACCCTAACTCCTACTAACTGACCCTAACTCACCCTAACTCCTACTAACTCACCCTAACTTCTACTAACTCTCACTGACTCACCCAAACATGATCAAGCCGTCATTTGCTCGCCTTCACATCATTCTTAACCTGCATGACTGACTTTCTGGATCACTAAAGAAGATATTTTGAAAAATGTCAATAAAGTGAAGGTCAGATAGGTGCAGTGGTTACTTTCACTGTATTAACAAAAGCAGTTCTTCAGAATCTTTTCTTTTGTGTTCTGCAGAAGAAAGAAAGTCCTACGGGTCAGGATCGACACGAGGGAGAGTTAATAATGACAGAATTATCATTTTTCATTGTCTCTGTTTACCTGCCTCCACAACAGTATGTTTAGTGTTTTATAATCATATTTTCATTCGTTTCACAATCTGTGCAGTTGGTCTTCATGATAACTCATGATTGTACCCTGGCAGCTTGCAGCTTGTTGATGTACGTGAAGGTCAGTGCAAACCATCCTCGTGAACGTGATGTGTGTTTGCACGAGGATCGTGACCCTCATGAAGCCTGTTCAGGATACAAAGGACCTAAATTAAAGAAAATAAAGCTTCTTTTTAGGGCTTTCCAAACCCTATTTTTCATGACAGTATATACTTTGAAATATATAAAGTATATATTTATTTATAATATATATGAAAATATGCTTTGAGAACCTGTTGGGGAATGTGACTACTAGTTAAAGACGTGAGCTGGTAAATTCACAAACTTACACCATTGTGTCTCTCAGTAGGCCGTCGTTCACACGCGTGACCCTCTGTACGGCGCTTTAGTCCAGGAATCAGAGAAACCTGACATCTGTGAATGCTTTGGTTTCTTTTAACCGTCCAATGTGTTTCTTCCTCCTACAGATCACACTATCAAAGACAAAGAGAAACAGAGAGACAGAGACAGCGAGAAGAAGAGAGAGAGAGAGATGGACAGAGAAAAAGAGCAGGAGAAAGAGATGAAGGAGAAAAGAAAACATAAGCTGATGATGGAGATGAAGAGGGAGAATGGAGAGGTGAAGATCCTGGAGAAAGGTGAGCGATCTGTCAATCATAATTCACAACAATCACGTTCACCTGTGTTTGACCTCTGACCTCACATGCATTTGGAAACTCGGGTTCACTTCTTGACATGCACATCATTTATAATTTTAATAATTAGAATGTATTATTAAAATATGTTGGGTTCCTAAACAGCTTTAGACAGATGCTGGTCACTAAAAGACATCTGAGAAAGAGTGAACCTGCTCAAAAACACTGTTTCTGCTGGCAGCAGACGGGTAACAACCGGCCCTCACCGGCCCTTGGAATGGTCCTAACCTCCCCCCCGGCACAGCGCCCCTGGGCTCCAGAATTAAAACTGACCGACCAGATTGTTTGCAAATGTGATGATTTAATATTTAACTCGCTTAGGCAGTGAATCGTTCAGAGTTATTACTGACTCACTCACTGAACCGCGAGTCGTTTTAGGTTTGAGTCTGATTCTAAATAAAGCGGGAAGTGTTTGTGACGTACATTCAGTCACTTTACTGACTTGATCATATGACAGTGAGCAAAGATCTACGTTCACCATTTATAATCAGTTAATAATGATGATGTTATAAAACATTTAGCATATGGGATCCACTTGTAAGATTGAATCGACTGTTTGTTTTTTTTAATATTTTTCCAAGCAATCAGAAATATTCTTTAAAACAGTGATATTTACATTGCACAAATGCAGTCAGAATCACTAAAGTCAGTGTTTTCATCACGTCAGCTGCTAAACTCTCATCTGTGCCTCTTCATTTATGGAAACACACAAAGTTAATTTTCACTGTCGCCCCTAGATTGTGTTTAACACACACGATTGTTTGCGCACAACTGAGGACTAAACGAACTAATCATGTCACATCATTAATGAAAGTAGTGCATTAGTTACATGTTGTTTTTGCATCTCAATTTTTATTCACATGACAAAAAATACTATGTTTGTCTCACCATATAGTGAGTGTCATTAAAGAATTTAAAGAAATAGAAGTAGATAAGTCATTAATCAATAGTAAGTTGATAAGAAGAGTATTAATAAACTGTTGGAGACACAGTGGTGACAGACGTACTCATTCGACTCGTACTCGTGCGTCAGTTTAGTTTTGATTACAGAACGTGATGTTTTCCTGCATCTGCTCGTCTCTGTAGTGAGTTTGTGTCCGGTGAGTGTGTTCATGGTCAAAGCAGATGGATAGTCGGCCATCGGGGTCAGTTAGATTGTCCGTTTCTGTATTTGTTTTATTAGTGTCTATCATTTGTGACCCTGGAGCACAAAACCAGTCATAAGGGTCAATTTCCTGAAATTGAGATTTATACATCATAATAAATGAATAAATAATCTTTCCATTGATGTCTGGTTTGTTAGGATAGGACAATATTTGGCTGAGATACAACTATTTGAAAATCTGGAATCTGAGGGTGCAAAAAAATCTAAATATTGAGAAAATCATCTTTAAAGTTGTTCAAATGAAGTTCTTAGCAATGCATATTACTAATCAAACATTAAGTTTTGATATATTTACGGTAGGAAACTTACAAAATATCTTCATGGAACATGATCTTTACTTAATATCCTAATGATTTTTGGCATAAAAGAAAATTGGATAATTTTGTGTACAATGTATTGTTGGCTATTGCTACAAATATAGCTGTGCTGCTTATGACTGCTTTTGTGCTGCAGGAACACATGTGTGATGCTGGTGGACGTGTGTGATACACAGTTTTTGCTAAAACTAGCGGATTTACTCAAACATCAGTCGCGACCAACAGAAGCTCACGTCTCACAGACGTCTAACCTATAAGGCTGATTTATACTTCTGCGTCGAAACTACGCCGTAGCCTGACGTGCACCTCTCCAAAAGTGTCACAGCGTGTCAAATCTACACGGGCCGCAAGCGCTGTGATTGGTCTGCTAGGACCGCGAGCGCTGTGAGCCTCCGTATGTGTTTGAGTTTTGTGTGTGTGTTTTATACTTTAATATATTTTAATGTTACACCTTCTTATTTAAAATAAACAAATCAAAGAACAAGTGTCTTATCATTTTATCATAAAATGTAGCATTACATCACTTTGTTGTTCGCGACAAACAGTTGTTCTGCCGTGGTACTGCGGGTTACACTAGCAACATGCCCGTGGACACTGCAGACTAGCGGTTTACATGTGTACTGCACGTCGACACAGAAGTATAAATGAAAACCCCCGCACATCCTACGGCGGAGAGGCTACAGCGTATGTCCGATGCAGAAGTATAAATCAGCTTTAAGCTCTCGCTGATCTGAAGCACTCTGGAGACTGTCTGCTCCTGTCTTCATTAGCTCTGCTGTTTGCTAGGATGCCAAATCACTCTCGTTCTGAGGATGTTTGTGTAAGTTAATCTTCTTTCTCCTGTGCTGTAGGTGACAGAGAGAAGCCGAAGATCGACTCCGCTGAGGATCTGCTGATGAAAAAGGTCAAGAAGAAAAAGAAAAAGAAACACAAAGAAGGTGAAAAGCGGAAGCGGCCCAAGATGTACAGCAAATCTATCCAGACGGTGTGTTCTGATCTCCCCAAATCTGGCTCAGAACTCAAGCCGCCACCTCCAGTCCAGCAGGGCGGCGCTCTGAGCTCCGTCAGCAGCCTGAAGCAGGAGAACAGCTGTGGCCAGAGCGCGAGCGCAGCAGACGGCGAGGCCAGAGCCGCTAAACTGGAGCGGCTGGAGTTCGGCTGTCTGGTTCACGTGGAGCACCAGCCGAACGGAGGAGCTCTGGTGGCTCACGCCTACAGCAAGGAGCTCTCTGTCCTGTCTCCTGTGGAGATGCAGAGGTTTGCGCAGGAGTTTGTGACGCTAGCGTTTTGCGAGGACCAGGATGGAGCCGCTAACTACGTGATGGGTGTGATTCACGGCGCCGCCTCCTACCTCCCAGACTTCCTGGAGTACTTCTCTACTAAGTTCCCCAACTCACCCGTCAAAATGGAGATCCTGGGGAAGAAGGACATCGAGACGACTAGTATGGCAAACTTCCACACTCAGGTTAGTAGATGCACAGGCTGTGTTGCACTGTTGGGTGTTTGTGTTCAGACGTTATATGAGACGATTAAACATCAGCAAACGAACGTCTAGAATAACAGAACTATCTTTTGGATCTAACTGTAATTATTTCCCACATCCAAGTTCCAGGTTATATGCAAAAGTCTGAACATTAATCTCTTAATTTTACAATAAGTAGTGAGGCTTAAATATCTAAAAAATGCACATTTAAGGAGTTCCTCTTTTGGTGAAAGTTTTCAGACGGCTTTCAGAATGGCCAGCAGACAGTGTGCACACATGGAGACCCATATCTCAGCGTGCAATGATCTGATTGACTTGAAATTACAGGAGGAATGTAGTAACAAACACATCAATTGGTTAAGACATCAAGTAGGATAATAAATAATTTTTTCTTTTTATAATCTGAGTTCAAATATGGAAGTGTGCTTAACGAGTACGTTTACCCTATGCAGTAGGGGAAAACTGTGGACTTGGCAACACTGCTAGTAATACAGAAGTGTTTTAAAGAGGCAGCGGTGAAGTGCTCACGGGTTTTCAGCTGTCTTAAATATTGTCAGGGATTCAGCGTTCCGTATAGGGTTAGGAAGATCATTCCACCAGCAAGGAACAGCATTCTGGGACGTGATGTTGTGCCTCTCTGTGATGTGCCACACAGCGTCGCTCAGTGCTTGACCGCAGGCTTCTGGACGGTGTGTAGACTCATAAGAGCAGCTAGAACATGATGGAAGTCCAGTACTCCAGCCTAGAAATGACAAGGGCCTGGACTGAGTTAAACAGAGCCTGATCCACCTGACGATGTGCAGAGCTGGTTCTGCTTGATCTGTTAGGGTTATTGTTGATGACTGTAGCTGGTGAATTGTACTGTACCGTTAGAGTAGCCGTGAAGACGAGAAGCTCTCTTTTTGCTAGATTATCTTTATATACGCTGGAATCGTCTGGTTAGAATGAATAGTAAAGCTGTGTTTCTGCAGCAGAGCAATGAGCGCAGATCAAGATGACATTGTGTTTGATTGTGTGTCTTTGTGTGTGTGTTGTGACCTGTGAGCTCTTAGGATTGTTACTCTCTCTCTCTCACACACACACACACACGCTTTGTCAGAAACACAGAGACAGGCCGACCCATGAGGTCTGATGTTTGACAATCTTTTCATTAGAAACAGCATCTGCTTTTCTTCCGTTTGTACCATTAATAGAAACGTGAGCTCCATAAAACGCCTGGACACACGGCCAGAGAGAGAGAGAGAGAGAGAGATCGCTAGCAGTGTTTGTTCTGCTGTATGTCAGGCAGAGATGAGTCAGACCTGCAGGCATTAGCAGCCTGGACATGACGTGAGTGACGTCATCAATCCCATCATGCACTGCTCACTTCACATTCCCTTGGTTCCTGAAGAGCTCACTGTACTGGAGTGATCACATGACCACACAATACTTCACTGGCGCTGCATCATTTGTTTATTAATAGCATTCGGTGTATCTTTGCATTTATGGTCATGTGATCAATCTTATGTTTAGACAGGTGTGTGTGATACAGCTGTGGCCAGAGCGCGAGCGCAGCAGACGGCGAGGCCAGAGCCGCTAAACTGGAGCGGCTGGAGTTCGGCTGTCTGGTTCACGTGGAGCACCAGCCGAACGGAGGGGGTCTGGGGGCTCACGCCTACAGCAAGGAGCTCTCTGTCCTGTCTCCTGTGGAGATGCAGAGGTTTGCACAGGAGTTTGTGACGCTAGCGTTTTGCGAGGACCAGGATGGAGCCGCTAACTACGTGATGGGTGTGATTCACGGCGCCGCCTCCTACCTCCCAGACTTCCTGGAGTACTTCTCTACTAAGTTCCCCAACTCACCCGTCAAAATGGAGATCCTGGGGAAGAAGGACATCGAGACGACTAGTATGGCAAACTTCCACACTCAGGTTAGTAGATGCACAGGCTGTGTTGCACTGCTGGGTGTTTGTGTTCAGACGTTATATGAGACGATTAAACATCAGCAAACGAACGTCTAGAATAACAGAACTATCTTTTGGATCTAACTGTAATTATTTCCCACATCCAAGTTCCAGGTTATATGCAAAAGTCTGAACATTAATCTCTTAATTTTACAATAAGTAGTGAGGCTTAAATATCTAAAAAATGCACATTTAAGGAGTTCCTCTTTTGGTGAAAGTTTTCAGACGGCTTTCAGAATGGCCAGCAGACAGTGTGCACACATGGAGACCCATATCTCAGCGTGCAATGATCTGATTGACTTGAAATTACAGGAGGAATGTAGTAACAAACACATCAATTGGTTAAGACATCAAGTAGGATAATAAATAATTTTTTCTTTTTATAATCTGAGTTCAAATATGGAAGTGTGCTTAACGAGTACGTTTACCCTATGCAGTAGGGGAAAACTGTGGACTTGGCAACACTGCTAGTAATACAGAAGTGTTTTAAAGAGGCAGCGGTGAAGTGCTCACGGGTTTTCAGCTGTCTTAAATATTGTCAGGGATTCAGCGTTCCGTATAGGGTTAGGAAGATCATTCCACCAGCAAGGAACAGCATTCTGGGACGTGATGTTGTGCCTCTCTGTGATGTGCCACACAGCGTCGCTCAGTGCTTGACCGCAGGCTTCTGGACGGTGTGTAGACTCATAAGAGCAGCTAGAACATGATGGAAGTCCAGTACTCCAGCCTAGAAATGACAAGGGCCTGGACTGAGTTAAACAGAGCCTGATCCACCTGACGATGTGCAGAGCTGGTTCTGCTTGATCTGTTAGGGTTATTGTTGATGACTGTAGCTGGTGAATTGTACTGTACCGTTAGAGTAGCCGTGAAGACGAGAAGCTCTCTTTTTGCTAGATTATCTTTATATACGCTGGAATCGTCTGGTTAGAATGAATAGTAAAGCTGTGTTTCTGCAGCAGAGCAATGAGCGCAGATCAAGATGACATTGTGTTTGATTGTGTGTCTTTGTGTGTGTGTTGTGACCTGTGAGCTCTTAGGATTGTTACTCTCTCTCTCTCACACACACACACACACGTTTTTTATTTATTTTTTTTCTAAACAAAACATTAAATATATTAGGGGTGTGCGGTATTGACAAAAAATATATCTTAATATTTTCTGGGATTTTATCGATAACAATAATTAGACAATATTTTGCTGAGTGTGTTATTAGGGATGCAACGATACCATTTTTTCAGAATCGATCCGATACCAAAAATTCTGAGTATCGGCTAATTCCGATCCGATACAGCGCAGTTTTTTTTTTTTTTTAAATCAATGTAGAATTTTTCTATACTTCTGTGTGTTAAACACAATCAGCTAAATATAGACAACTTCATTTTAATTAAAAATAACAAATGAAATAAATATATAATCATAATATATGACAAAAAAATACTATTATAAACTAGACTAGTGAATAATTCAGCAGCAAAAGTTATTCTAGAAAAATCATGGGTGCACAATAATTTTATAAAAACATTCAAACGAAACATTTAGTGAAACAACATTATTTAGTGGGGAACACAAAAGTTAATAAGTGTTGGACTATATCTGGTAAACTGTTACACATTGCTCTTTGTATTGTTGTAAAATACATTCATGAAAAACAAGTAGCCTTTACCTTTTTTAAGTATTGACTGAATGCCAGTTTTACTGATACTGATTCCTTCATTACTGTAAATGGATTTATTTTTACAGAACATTTAAAACATAATAGCAACTATTAATTTAAGTAAACGTGAAAACAATATTCACATAAATTAATTAGAATAAATTATAATAAAGATTCATACACATGTAATTTCTTTAACAAAACTGTCAACATGAACGTGATTTAATTTTTGAACTATCTGCTTTAGCATTAGAAATGGCTTATAAATATGAACAATTTGGACTCATTGTTTCCTTCGAAAAGTTTACTTGCACCAAATATAATTTTATATATTATATGTTATTTTTATTAGTTTAATAGTTTGATATTGGTTAGCAGTGCAAATTTGTAATACCCCCAAAATGGGTGTACACTTGTTCAGTTGTATTATTGGTTGTATTAATGCAGATGAGGACGGTGTTCGTTATGTACCAGTCCGCCCCAGACCTCCCCTTACTCTGTTGCGCCAATACCGTAACCCATGGAAGGCTGCCTATCACCATTTCCAGAGGTACAGTGACATCAGAGTCAAAGGTAAGTACCTTTTGAACATGTGTGCTTGCTCAGTTTTTCCTTGCTCTTTTTAAAATTACGGATGCACCGATACCATTTTTTCAGATCCGATCCGATACCAAAAATTCTGAGTATCAGCCGATACCGATACCAGAATTTTTTTTTTTTTTTAAATCAATGTAGAATTTTTCTATACTTCTGTGTGTTAAACACAATCAGCTAAATATAGACAACTTCATTTTAATTAAAAATAACAAATGAAATAAATATATAATCATAATATATGACAAAAAAATACTATTATAAACTAGACTAGTGAATAATTCAGCAGCAAAAGTTATTCTAGAAAAATCATGGGTGCACAATAATTTTATAAAAACATTAAAACGAAACATTTAGTGAAACAACATTATTTAGTGGGGAACACAAAAGTTAATAAGTGTTGGACTATATCTGGTAAACTGTTACACATTGCTCTTTGTATTGTAAAATACATTCATGAAAAACAAGTAGCCTATATATATATATATATATATATCAAATATA